CGGGCGGCCCCCCTGCCCCAGCCATGGCTAGAGAGGCTGGCGGGGCGTCTGTCCTGGAGCGACTCTTGGCTAACTTGGCGCTGCGGGATGAGGCCGGGCGTGCTCGGTACACGAGTGAATGCAGTGTCCCCAGGCCGGCTGTGAGCAGAGACAGTGCTTCTGGCCACGCCTGGGTGGGGGGACTTGGGCTGCCCCGCTGGGCTGGGCCAGGTGGGGGTTCAGATGAGCTGGGATCACGCAGGGAGCTCTCGCTCCCCCTGGTGCGGAGCGCAAAGGGCTTTGGGGCAGGATCAAAGGGGCTCGTGAATTGGAGACCACCGAAGGGTGAGCGAGTCTCCTGTCTTGCTCAGGAGTGAAGGATAATCCAGGACTCCAATGCTGCAGCTGGGGGTGATGTCCCCTAGAGACAGATCCCTGGGACCCTGCCTGCTTCGCATAGCCAGGCCTGTTTGGGGTGGAGGGGCTGATCCACTCCTGTTCCCCCCCATTCTGGCCTCTTTTAACCCTGTTCACCCTCTTTCTCCCAGGGCCTGCTTGGCTGGTCGCGGAAAGATCTGTGCAGTGAGTTTGGCATCAGAGGGACCCACCGAGCCGGTGAGCTTGGTTGGGCCAGCGAGCACAACACGGGGAAGACGGACTGGGCCAGCGAGACTGAGCAGGATCGGGAGTTCGGCACGGGCACGCGGGACTGGGGCGATGCGTACAAAGAGCCGGAGCGGCTGCAGGAGTCCAGCGCGGCGCATGGAAACTGGCCTGATGCCTACAGCATGGAGCAGCCCCGGCAAGCCAGACTGGAGCGGCCAATACAACGTGGGCGGTGCCAACAGCCCGGATGGGGAATTCAGTACCAGGAAACTGGACTGGAGCAACTCCTACGGCACTGGGGAGAGCACCCAGCAGGACAAGAGATTCAAGGCTGGCCAGCCAGACTGGACCCATGAGCCTGTTGTTGGTGATACCGCCCAGCAGGATAGAGAGTGGCCCCACATGTACGGTGGGGATACCGACCAACAAGATGGAGAGTTTGGCACCAGCAAGTCATCCTGGACCCATGAGCCTGGTGCTGGTGATACCGCCCGGCAGGATAGAGAGGTCGGCTCTGGCAAGCCAGACTGGTCCCATGAGTCCAGTGTCGGTGATAGCGCCCGGCAAGATGAAGAGTTCAGCTCCGGCAAGCCAGACTGGCCCCACATGTACGGTGGTGATACCAACCAAAAGGATAGAGAGTCGGGTACTTGCCAGTCAGGCTGGGCCCGCGAGCTGTGTGTGGGTGATACCACCCGACAGGCTAGAGAGTGGCCCCACATGTACGGGATAGAGAGTTTGGCACCAACGAGCCAGACTGGACCCGTGATCCTGGTGTCGATGATACTGCCCGGCAGGATAGAGAATTCGGCTCTGGCAAGCCAGACTGGCCCCGTGTGTACAGTGGTGATACCGTCCGGCAGGATAGAGAGTTTGGCACCAACGAGCCAGACTGGACCCGTGATCCTGGTGTCGATGATACTGCCCGGCAGGATAGAGAATTCGGCTCTGGCAAGCCAGACTGGCCCCGTGTGTACAGTGGTGATACCGTCCGGCAGGATAGAGAGTTTGGCACCAACGAGCCAGACTGGACCCGTGATCCTGGTGTCGATGATACTGCCCGGCAGGATAGAGAATTCGGCTCTGGCAAGCCAGACTGGCCCCGTGTGTACAGTGGTGATACCGTCCGGCAGGATAGAGAGTTTGGCACCAACGAGCCAGACTGGACCCGTGATCCTGGTGTCGATGATACTGCCCGGCAGGATAGAGAATTCGGCTCTGGCAAGCCAGACTGGCCCCGTGTGTACAGTGGTGATACCGTCCGGCAGGATAGAGAGTTTGGCACCAACGAGCCAGACTGGACCCGTGATCCTGGTGTCGGTGATACTGTCCGGCAGGATAGAGAGTTTGGCACCAGCGAGCCAGACTGGACCCATGATCCTGGTGTCGGTGATATCGGTGATACTGCCCGGCAGGATAGACAGTTTGGCACCAGCAAGCCAGACTGGACCCGTGATCCCGGTGTCGGTGATACCGTCCGGCAGGATAGAGAGTTTGGCACCAACGAGCCAGACTGGACCCGTGATCCTGGTGTCGATGATACTGCCCGGCAGGATAGAGAATTCGGCTCTGGCAAGCCAGACTGGCCCCGTGTGTACAGTGGTGATACCGTCCGGCAGGATAGAGAGTTTGGCACCAACGAGCCAGACTGGACCCGTGATCCTGGTGTCGATGATACTGCCCGGCAGGATAGAGAATTCGGCTCTGGCAAGCCAGACTGGCCCCGTGTGTACAGTGGTGATACCGTCCGGCAGGATAGAGAGTTTGGCACCAACGAGCCAGACTGGACCCGTGATCCTGGTGTCGATGATACTGCCCGGCAGGATAGAGAATTCGGCTCTGGCAAGCCAGACTGGCCCCGTGTGTACAGTGGTGATACCGTCCGGCAGGATAGAGAGTTTGGCACCAACGAGCCAGACTGGACCCGTGATCCTGGTGTCGATGATACTGCCCGGCAGGATAGAGAATTCGGCTCTGGCAAGCCAGACTGGCCCCGTGTGTACAGTGGTGATACCGTCCGGCAGGATAGAGAGTTTGGCACCAACGAGCCAGACTGGACCCGTGAGTATGGGTTCAGTCCTGCTGATGGTCCGGGTAAGGAGTGTAGTCCTGAGAAGCCAGACTGGACCCGGGAGTGCAGTGCCAAGTCCCACGAGCAGGGTAGGGAGTGGACCCGTGGGTACGGTGTTGGGGATACCGCCCAGCAGGACAAGGACTTTGGCACTGGCCAGCAACTCTGGACCCGCGAGTTCGGAATTGGTGATGGTGCTGGACAGGACGGCGCATTGAGCCCTGACAAGCCAGCTTGGCTTGGGGACCATGGCAGTCGCCTTACAGACCGAGACTCTACCTTTGGCCCTGGGGTCGAAGACGCCGGCAGCTTGATCCGAGCCCCCAAGGCCCGGAAGCCCAGGTGGAGCGGCAGCGGCCTGCAAGAGAGCAAGTTCTCTTTTGCCAGGCGGGATTGCACCCGTGAGTTCGGGGTCGGAGGGGCTGAGCACGAAAGCCAGTTTGGCGTCATCGGGACGCAGCGGGCAGGTGGCTTTGGCTTAGCCGCTTTGGAGCCCGTCGCTGCCAGCGAGACCCTGCCCGAGCGGGCTGGCCATTCCCAAGGGGTGGGCCTGGAGGAGCTCAGAGAGGCCGGCGTGGGGCAGCCCGACTGGGCTGGAGGTCGAGGTCTCAGTGTCACGGAGCCATCTGTCAGCGGGGGATGGATGGACTGGACATACACATGCAGCACGAGCAGCACGGGTCCCTCCAGTGGCCTGGGGGTGGGGGGCGCCGATCCACCCCGGGAACCTGGCGTGGGGCAGTCAGACGGGGCCGGTGACGGCACGGGAGACTCAGCCACCGCCAGCGGCTTGGGGCGCATGGGCATGACGGAGGCTGGAGAGAGACAGTTTTACTGGAGCCGCGAGTTCAGCTCCGGGGCCGAGAGGTCTGCGAAGCCTGGGGAGGTGGCCGTGGGGCAGATGGACTGGGCCAGTGAGGCCGGCATTGGATGTGGGAAACAACCCGGTGCCACATCCCTGGCTGGCCTGGAGCTGCATGGAGACAGGTAAGGGCTGCGCTGGAGGTGGGAGGGTTGGGCGGAAGTGTAGGGGGCTGCATCTCGGCCTTCACTGCTCATCAGAGCATTTGGTGCCCTACCTATGCGAGGGGCCGGTCTCAAACAGCAGCTGTTTTCGGGGGAGGGGGGCAGAGGGAAAGGAGGGAAGGTCTTGTCCCACTCCCAGCCTGGGACTGTTTAGACAAAGTACTCCTGTTGTGGGGATCAGCACTCCCGACGTCTGTTTGCTGCTGAGCTCTCAAAGATCCTGCAGCAGTGAGTTCCTCTTCTTAACATCTCCTCTCCTTGGGGAAGCCCTGAGGCTACTGCCCAGCATGGTCACGCACCTCCTCATGCCCACTTGATCAGGGCAGCTCAGTTGCCTTCAGCCCACTGCGTAGCATCCTACGGAAGCCGCCATGGTCATGGAAACTTGTTTCCCTTTCTCGAGCTGCTCGTGGCTCCTCCGGAAATTCTGTGGCTCCCCCACAGCCTGTTACTTCTGCACTGTAGGCTCTGCCCAGCCTGCTTGTCTGTCTTGGGGCGGTTGTATTCTTCAGCATACAGCATGGGCAGGACTAGTGCCCGGACACTTCCCTCCTCCCTCCCTCGGCCCCCCTGGATCAAAGCCCAGCTCCCGTCCAGTGGGCCTGGAGTCGTCGAGAGCTGACCAGACCGGCCTGCATGGGTGGGCTGTGCCTTAACGCCGTCCCTTGCCTCGGTTGCGCCCCGTCCGCCGCTGGCTTTGGTGGGGGCCTTGCCCATCCCCTAGCTTCAGCTCCTTGGCAAATGTTGCCACCTGTCTCTTTCCTCCTGCCCTGCCCTGATCCAGCGTGAGCTCTGTGGTGCATCAGGCCCAGGGGACATGCTGCCTTGTGCCGTCCGTTCCTGTGGCTCTTCCAGTCTGGGACATGCGTCCCCTCCCAGCTTGGCTCCCGCCTTTCCTTGGCAGCCTCCCCGCGGGGTGTGTGGCCTCTGCGTTCCCCGCACCCGGATCTCCTCCTCCTCCCAGCTGTCCTCTGCAGGCTTGGTTCCTAGTCACCTGAGCCCTGGTCACATGACACACTCAGATCAGGAGCGAGGGCTGGGTGGTGGTGGATTTCCCATCCCTAGATGTCTTCCGACGATGCCTGGCCATCTTCCTGGAAGACACGCGGGAGCCAAACAGGAGCTTCTGAGCTCAGGCCTGGGGAACTGGGTGGGTTAGGCAGATGATCCATTAGTGGCTTCTGGCCTTAATCTCTAGGGAAGGGGCGAGTCCCAGAATTGTGAGGGGGTCCCTTGCCAATAACACCCCCCCCCCAACACACACACACAGCTGTCTATACTTTGTGCTTTTCCCTAGTGGGTGCCATCTGATGGCTGATCATTGAGAGTACGTCTACACAGCAGCGTTATTTCGGAATAACTCTGCGGGCGTCTACACAGCAAGCCCGTTCTTTCGAAATGACGGGCAGCTTATGTCGGCGTTTGTCAACCTCATGCCGCGAGGGAGAACGCCTCTTCCCAAATAGGGACGTTTTGGAATAGCTGTAGTGTGGATGCTCCATGCTGCTATTTGGGAATAGCTCCTCCCCCCGGGCCATCCAAAGTAATTGCTCCCAGGGCCTCCTGGGACACTAAATTGGGGGAGCCTGCCTCAGACTAATTTCCCTGTCGTGTGGACACGCTATTTTGAAATGAGCGATTTCGGAGTTTGTCTTCTGGGTTCCGAAATACTCGTGCGGTGTAGACGGAGCCCAAGTCCCAGAGGAGAATCCAGGCAGGCGGAGGGAGGAGAGCTAAGGGTGACCAGTTGTCCTCATTTGATGGGGACGTTCTCCAATGTAAGTGCCTATTCCCTCCCCCAACATCTGTCCTGATGTTCCCCCTGCCCCCCCCCTCTGGTCCCCCTCAGGAGAGCTAAGTTGACACATTGAGGCCGGGCGGGGGGGTGACAGCCCCCTGGCCCATCTCTCGGCCCGGGAGCGGTGCTGCTTTGGACGTCTCGTGCTGTGGTGCTTCCCTTAAAGCTGCCTCTGCATCCGCGTCCCCTCCCTTCCCTGCGTAGCAGCTGTTCCCAGCCAGCCGCCCTCAGCTTGCTGGCTTAATTCTTTGGATTCCTTCAGACCACGTGTCCCCGGCGCGTCCCTCTGTGGGATCCAGCTGCTTCGCTCAGCACGGGCGGGGCAACCCAGGAGCGGGGTTCCCAAGTGGCTCTGGACATCTGTGCCTCTGGAGCAGTCCTGGCTCCCCAAGTATCCCCAGAAAGGGACCCTCTTCCCCCGCCCAAACTCACAGCAGCGCTCTGGTCTGGGTGCTCTGCAGGGAAGCTCCGGGGCCTAAGGACCCAGGCTGCTGTTGGTGGTGGATGAGGTCATGGCCGTCCAGTTGTTGGAGGTCGGAACCAGCCAACAGTCGGCTGGGCTGGGAACACAGCGCCCTGGCTGCTGGCTAGGCCCAGCTCCCAGGCAGGGGGTTGTAGCGGGGC